GTCGCCCGAGCTATCGTGTCGGGCATGCAGCATGAAGACAGCTGCGGAGGAAGTAGACAGCGTGACGCCGTTAACTCGCGTCAGACGAAGTTTAACGGGAACGATAGGAATAGTAGGAATTCACACAAAAACTAAAATTTTCTCAAGCTGTTAAAAATGAGCAGAAACTAGTCGATGAAACCGCAAAGAACCAACTAGACGGAGTCAGCCTCTCTACAAGGAAGCACCAGGGCTCTGGAATTTTCAGCCTCTGTGGATGGTGTCGACTGCACGACCCGCGCCCAAATCGCTCTTGGTACACTGAAGGGCCAAATATGGCTGACAGAAGCAATGAATGGCAATCTGTTAGAGTTATGCTTCGACTGAAGTCGCAAAAGCGAAAGCATAGACGTTGTTACGTTGTTGCATTCATCACCTTTTCCACAATATGCCTAAAACATAAAGCTCATTCTTTGAAGGATAGAGGTTGCGTCCATTAGGATTTCATTGCGTAAATTAGGTGGTGGACACGGTCCCTTCGTTACCGAAAGTGAATCTAATCCACGCAGATATTCACAACTACCGTAAGACTGTTACAAGCGAAAGTTACTGTCCATTGCTCAATGCAGTTCCAGATGCTCTCTGTCAGGAGGTTCTTAAACCATGGCTGTTGAGCGTGAAGGTCCATTTTGTCTAAGCCTTTCAAGAGCAAAAGAAGCCGGACTGCTAAAAACAATGCAGCTTGCACTCTTTTACACGCAGAGTCATTGCAAGGAAAACAATGAACCCGTCCATCCAACTAAATAATGATTGCATAACCACGGCTGCCTTCAGGCATGCAAAACACTAAACGTAAGTAGTGCAAATCAAATGAGGGTTAGAAAAGTTTCTTCTTGAACAGACTCTCAAATTGATAAAAAACCGCTCAGTTATGACGGCATGGAATCTACCGTACTCCCACCCCCTCCTGTGAATGAGTTCACACATTCATGATTGTACGAAAGTTCGTTCAAGAAATTCAGATTATCAACACAACAAACCGTCGCTGCACGGTTAGTGTTTTGGGTCGTTTTCGGAGCAGAAATTTTTAACACCCTGCTTATCGGATCAGCAATCGGTTGGAGCATGCGAGTTGTAAATTCTCGCTGAGTACAAACCGTTCAGTTTTATTCGAGGTTAGGTGGCCTTTATCCGATAAGCTGACCGCAGTACTTTGGCTCATGATTTTCCTAGTTTGTTTAATTTGAGAAGCAATATTCAAAGACAGAATTTTGCCTCAGTTTTTTAGGTTGTTCACTGATTTAAACCATGGATTTTGAACCCTCCGAAAAGGCTCAGATCATAGAAATTAATGAATTTGCGTTCAACTCATCATGGCTAAAATTCAATTGATTTTCTAACGTCGTAAATTCTGATGTTCGAGTTTTATGACATAAATTAAAGATTTCTCAAGGGCGCTTTCTTTTCTTGTTATTTATTGGCTTAGTAAGCTTGCAGTTGAATTTGATTTATGAGAGAATTAGGAGCAAGTGTTTTTGTTTCCAAAAAACGGTGCTGGCACTGCCGCAAATTAATTTAATCATTACACCGTGATTTGTTATAAAAACGTTGCGATCATTTAATTGCCTTAAACGTGATCAAGGAAATGTACAACGTCAATATGCGAAAAAAGATTATTTATTTTACTTGAATTTTATTTTTGGTTGAATACTTACAACGCTGGCATATTTAAATGGCAGGAAGACAAGATCGACAAACGTTTCGAAGGAAATCCGCTTCGCAGAAAGTCAAACGTGTTATAGCAGAAATATAAATACTACTGTTTCAGTAGTCCCTGAAAGATGGATAAAGTATGATCTGGAACGTGAGATTACGTCGAATACAATTCATATGCGAAAAACACATTTTGTGCACCTTCACTGTCTCCTCGGTGACAAAGAACTTTTCATTCACATGATGAATTCATGAAATATTTTTTGAGCAGTACATATTCGCTATCCGTTGTCTGACTTGTCATCGTTATGGGCGTGCCACGAATGCTAGTCGATGTTACTCGAACATTTTTTAGTTTCCACTTTTTGCCTCCTCCGCTGGCCAAGTCATTTGACCACAGGATTGTCCGCCTAAATGTTAGAAATCGCAGTTTGTAATTCGTCATCTTTCGGGCCAGCTTATCTTTCTTGGCCTCGTAGAAGGTAGAAATCACTTCTGTAACTCCAACCTGTTCAGGAGTTTCTTCGCTTGGAAGGCGATTCCGAGGAGAGGCCTTGTCTATTCTTCGATTCATTGCTCGTTTGGTGACCATCTATTTGTTCACCTCAGCTTAAGGACGCGACACAATATACATAAATAAAGATAATGATATTCGGCGTTATCACTGATACAGCCAGGCGCTTAACATAATGTAACACAAGTCTTATACCAGTATCACACCACAATTATTTCATTGTTCTGAAAAATTCATATTCTCAAATTTGTTGGTATAAATAACAATTTTTTTCATGCGTACAATGAACCGATTTTATATACTCAATTACTCTCTGGAAAAAAATAGCGTGATTATGTTTTGTTTATACGCTTGCCGCAAAATTTTTAAATTAAAATGTTCAGTATGATTGTTTAGCAAATATTAGACAAACAAACTTTGAAAAAGGCAAAACTGGTCATTAAGTGATAAGCACAGTGACATAAACAGTGTCTGAATTTGTTTAAATTAGGAAATTTTGTCAATGTCAATTGCCAGAATCTTGTTAGTCAACAGATATGAGGTTAACGGCAGGCATTCAAACAAGAAGTAATCGAATTCCAATTTTCGAAGTTTCTGTAAGAACATGATGAGACTGAGAATGCGATACAAACTACAGCTTCTACCACGGGTTATTTAATAAACGTAAGCGAGGCGTGGTTTCTCAGTTGCTCTGCTCTTATGGTTAGCGACCATCCTGCTACCTGATGACCGATGATTGATGGCTCTCCAAGATATTGGTGACGAGCGAAGAATAGCAAATTCACCTTTTAGATTAGCATAGTACTGCTTTCTTTCGGACAAAGACTCGAGATGATGAAAAACAACATCTAAACTCAAAGCAACTGTGGTTCTTTTCTGTATTTCCGTTGCTCTGAAAACCGTTTATGGTTATCGAGTGCACAGTTTAGTCTACGGTCTCATTTGCTTAACGTTTTCTTTCTTTGCCATTAAAATATCCCTATATCCACATTCATATATTACCATAATATCACTTAATTGATATGAAAATTTTCTTTGTCCTGCGCTGAAAAATAACATACTTTGTTGATCACTTTTTTGCCCTTTGCTTCCTTTGCTTTCTTCCACATTCT